AGAGAGCGCTGGACATTCACTCCCCCCACCTTTGGGTTACGAGTCCAACTCTCTAACCATTAGGCCACGACCTCCCCCATATCTCAGTATGATTTGGCACTAATGGGCTAAACTCCCCCTTAGTGTTTAGTTTACCCTTTTTTTTCTATTTCAATATCTCTCTCTCTTTCTGGCATTTGTAAGGTTTTTATGAGTCCGAGGGATCAAATTAGTCGTTTTGTAGAGGGCTGAGGTCAAGCTTTTCACTAACTTGACCAAGGACGGTGTGTGTGGGTTATTTTGTGCCTACATTGTTGGGAACAAATATCCCCACACGAACAGTAAAAACTGAAATTAGCTGCATTGCAGCAAGCATCCAACAGTCTATATGAGAACAATGACTTCATACAGGGCCGTTTCTAGGCATAGGCTAAGGGGCGCCAATGAGCACACGTACTGGCACTTTTAGCAGGGTTGTGATAATGAGTGGCACTCTGATCTAGTGCTGTCAATTGCTGCCTGATTGTTGCATGCAAAGTTTGCATTTGGAGCGCTCAACAACGCCATTAGATCAGTGGGCTCTGTCAGTGCTTTGGCAAGGGAACACTATTTTTTGCCATGCAATAAAGCGAAGTTCAAAGGCCAATTTAAAACATTGGTACAGTAAATAAAGTGCACAAAATCAGTATTTTGTTTAGGCAGTATTTGTGGCAGATTTGTCCAAAAGGTGTGCGTTGTTTTGCGCCAATGCATTGTTAAAGGATCAGCGTGTCATGTAATATTCCCATATAAACTTTAACATCCAATTAAAAAAGATTTGTATAGTAAAATTCGCTAATTCACGAGATCAATACATCCTTTATTAGACCGCTTTGTCGAGTTAAATGCATACACAATGTGAAAATTTCAGGTAGAAAGACTGTAATAGTACATAATCTTCAAGATTAATTCCAATCAATAATCTTTGTTTACAACTTAATCACATTTTACTGTGTAGTGAAGGCCAACGACTTCCTGAACTGTTGTATAAAAGCAAATCTAATGGCATTCTTTTTAAGTGTCCAATACTTTTTGGGGTAACTGTATGCACATAAGTTGTTCTCTGATTTCATTTGTGGCATCTTTGAATTGCTTACCTGCACATTTTTTCTTAGGTTCCTCAGGATTCTTTGACTGTACCGCAATTAGATATTTGGGCTCAGCATCTAGAAAATAGAGAAGATACTGTTAAATAAACAACCAAATCTATGAAAGAAGGCTAGAGAGAAATGCAGTACCGATCTCAGTCTCATAGGGTTGTCCATCCTCGGGTAACTGGATGAATTGTTTGGAGAACATGCTGCTGCCATAGCCCAGGATGTATCCCTCCAGTCTGGTGTCCACATGGGGCTGGAAGAACTTGAATACAATGGTGTCTCCAACAGCGCTGATACGCACCCTCATGTTTCGTCTTTGCACTGGGATTCAAATACACAGGAAAAGTGATCACATCAGATTCATCAATCCCTTACATTTACATTATGACTTCAGCTAGGGATATTAGAAGTCATGTGACTGTATCTACAACGTTCTTGCCAAGAGATTTGGAATAACAATCAGTCCAGTGTCAGATTTTCCTTTCTGAAAGCTGCACTTCTACAGTCTAAACGAAAGTGTTTTGGTCATGCACTTGCCAGCCGCTATGCTTCCCTCACAAACATCATGTTCTGCCGTTATAATTACCCAGTTTTGTGAACTATGACAACAAACACGTAAAATAATCCCAGTACGAGACCCCTGTGGTTTGTTTCTCATAAATGTGTGCGATTGCCGTTTCTGAAGAATGAATGATGAAATCGTGCATGTCCTATGCCAGAGAAAGTTGTTACCGCTTGAGGGAAACCCCTGGCATTGAGCTCCAGATCACACAAACAGCCCATTTATTACATCAGAGCTGGTTTCTGTATGACTCTCAGAGGAATCAGCAGATAAACTGCTGTGCTGCAGAGATATGTGTGCATGTAAAGTGAGAAAATACTTGTTGTATGTGTGTTTTATTTACTGTTAAACATAGTCACCCACTGAATCTGAAACTATAAGAATGTTGATTTCTCCTAGACAGCAGTGAGATTGATCGATAAACAAATGGAGACATTTCCTGCTCTCATATTTCTCCTTTAGGGTTTCAGAAGAGATCTCAACAATATCACAGATCTGCCAGGACTCTGTTTGCCAGGAGTCTGCAAACAAAAGATTTCAGTATGAGGTTAAACCTTTATCATGACATTCTTCCAAAATTAAATTATCAGAGCTAGAGTAGAATACAAAAATTAAAAGACTTTCATAAAATAAACTTTCTTAAAAGTCTTCTTAAGAAGTCTTTCATAACATTTGTTCACCAAGGCTGCAATTATTTGATCAAAAATAATAATAAAATACAGTAAAAGCAGTAATATTGTGAAACATTATTAGCATTTTAAATAACTTTGAATATTTTTTAAAATGTGATTTATTTATGTGGAGGACAAAGTTCAAGGTCATGTTCAAATTCAAGTTAGTTTGAGAAAGGCAATAATAACCTAAAACAATGCCAAATTAACATAAAACAATAGCCCATATGGCATACTTGTAGTAGTCAGCCAACTCATTTCAGATGTGGCAAATTTTTTACATTTTGTTGAAAATTAGAAAAACTAATTTTCCTTTAAGGAACTATGAGATTAACTATGAGACCAGGAATGTGTATTAAACTTGAATTACATTCACTTGAAACATATTGGAGAAGTGCTTTAAGTCTCCTGAGCTATAAAAAAAATGTACTCTGGGAAAGTGTGTGCAACACATGACAATGAGGAATTGGTAAACAGGGGTTTCCATGGCAACTAGGGATTTAGAGAACTTCACTGACCTAACAGATGGGTGGCCTGTGGTAAATTAGGCAAGGCTGAGGTGTGTTACAATAAGACACCATCATAGGATGAAGAGGTCAGTATGTAGTGGCAGCAGAGTTGATGCTTACTACTTTCAGTATATATGTTTGTCAGTTTGCACAACTTGCAAAAGTCAAGGGTCTGCTCTTACATGCACCTTACACGTGACAAAGGACAAGGAGAGTGATGAGGCCAAAACAAATTCAGACACCGGCACATTAAGTACAGACTCGGTGTGTGAAGTCATTTTTGATGTTACACATTAAACCAAACTAAAATAACCGAAATTAATCCACATTCAGCCAACACCCATGCACTCAGCTTTCATGCACTCAATTTTTTTTCAAACAATCTCACTTCACAGATTCAAGCTTTTCAGGAAACAGATAATAAACACACACAAACAGAGCTGCCTCCTGATGTGACCTTTGCTGCCAATACAGACAATATTTTAGCAATTTCAACAGAATCCATTACTACCTTCCAATAAAAATCCATTCCAATGACCTGCAAATAGACTTTCGAAATATGCATTATTGATATAATACACATCATTAACTGTGTAATCATAAACATCATTGAATTATTTTAATGCACTCTTCAAAATGGTCACAATAACAGCAAATCATTGCACTATCCCAACCCCAAAAAGGAAACCGATATATTATGTATATCTGTAGATACAGACTGACAACAGTTGAGCTTGCATTTAACCAGCACCATGCATCCACAGCATACCAGACTATGACTTCAGTAATATTGCATTAGAATAGACATACCGCATGCAGGATTTCCTTTTGCATGCAATTCATTTCACAAGTGCATGCATGTGGATTTGGACCTTACTACTGAAAAAAGCTAAAACTGTAAAGGCAGTCAAATTTGCTTATAAATTTTCATGAATAATATGTTTGATCCCAGAATTGGTCTAGAATCTAAAGTTGAATAGCTTTGTTTTGGTACCTTTCAGTGTGGTTGCAGAGGTCAGTCTCAGTAGCAAGATCTCACTGAGGAAGAGGAGGATGAAGGCTTGCATGTTGTCCCTTTCTCCAAGAAAACAATACAGAGCTCATACAGTCCACTCAAACCTCTTCTCTCATAAACGTCTACAATTGTTCTATTTTTCTCCTTGTCCTTTGAAGTGACGTCAGATTAGGTGCCAGTGCACACTCTGTGTAAAAGAAACTGTGTGGTATGATTTTGTGTTTTTGGAAATGGGTGTGTGTGATTGTACAACCATCTATACTGGATTATTAATAAGAGGGAGGGACCCTATGATGTCACACTGTAGTTGTTAAACCTTTAGCTTATCTCTCTGTCTCTCTCACTACACCATTTCAGCACACTCCATTTTTCTTCTTGGCTGCATCTTTTTCTTTGATTCAGTGTTTGGGATCAACTTTATTCGAAAATCATTAAGTAGTCACTGCAATAATATCACAAAGCAGGATTTGGGACCTTCATTAGAAAGAAGAAAATATTTGATTTATTTAACCTTTATTTAACCAGGATAGCCTTTTCTGATATTAAAAATCTCTTTCACAGTGTCCTGGCCAAAATGGGCAGCAATACAATAAGTTTCATCACAAATTAACAAAACAAAGAACTAAGAACACTTAAAACAATTACACATAATTGAATCATCTTCCATTTGCAGAATAACCATTTTAAAAATTCCCAAAGACAGTAAATTTAGTCAATTTCGATACATTTGTGGAGTTACTAATGTTTATACTATTCTTGTATTATTTACATTAACAGCACAGAGCATAACGCAACTCCATCTATGATAAACAAATGTATTACAACTAAATTAAATACATATACATGTGATTAAAAAAATAAAACTGTATTTTGATCATTTTTAATGTCACATCATAGGATAACTAAATGGTTTTTAAAAAACACATAAAATGTACTGGTTTTGTTAATAAATCTAAATAATACAGGACTTAATAATAATAATACATGATTACACAGACACATATGGTATATACTTATAACTATTTTTTCAATAGGTCTCAGTAGTCACAAATAATAAGAAATGTGAATTATTTTGACTAAAAACACATGGTACAATTCATATTAGAAATATTAAACCTTAGAATACAATGGCAATTTGAAACACATAGGTGCCTTGACAAGAATGTTATGCTAAACAAAGTACTGTTTAGTCATTGAAGATAACTGTTGTTGAGAGAGAACTTTTTTTTTCTCCTTTCCCAGCGACTCTACAGTGTGGCTGTTCAAAATATAATGTAATACCACATGTTACCCATTTCTCAGACTTAATCTATTTAACCACAGCTAGAGGAGAAAAACATGAAAAAGTGTTTGAAGACTCATTGGAATCCATTCATTAATAAAATGAACATGTTCAAAATGTGCAAAAGCATGTTATTTATAGCATCTATAACAGTGTTCCAGGTTTCTGACTAAACATGATTGTTTCCAGTTGATTACCAGAAAATGATTTTATATATTTTTGTACTTACGGTCAATTGTCTAGAAGGCCTTTGAACATGCCATTGTCTCATGATTCTGCTGTCTCCTATTAGCCTCCTGTAATAATAAATTATGGGTCAAACTTACTTCAAATCATCTTTAAAAATATACTGTAAGTTGACAAATCATTGTGACCAAACAAATGATTATGAACTGCTGGAGTTTGTTAAAAACTACTGAGGTCTTTGCAGTCAGTTTGGAAAAGCAATGGGATGTTGATACCAGGGTATAAATTCAAGGTCAGTAGTTTATTTATCAAATGTAATAATTGAATAATTGTCCATTGGAAAAAAAAACATACTTACAACCCTAATATAAATATTGGTACCATTCAAAAGTTTGGGGTTGGTAAAATTTTGTACGGTAATTTGCTCAAAAACACAGTAGTATTTTGAAATATTATTACATTTTAAAATAACTGCTTTGTATTTTAATATATTTTCAAATGTAATTTATTTCTGTTTTGGCAAAGCTGAATTTTCAGCAGCCAGTGTCACATTATACAAACAAGAATTTTCTTTGAGAATTGTCAAAGAGTCTCTATACAGCATTGAAGTTTAGTTTAGTTTAGTTTTTTTTTTCAAACAGCATTTATCTTGTCTGATTTCATTTATACTGTATTTTGTCAAACATACAAGAATTTTCCAGTGTTTTAATGGATTTCATAACAGATTTGCATAACAACATAGGTCTACTTTAAACGGTGCTACTTGAACTACATGACAGCATTTTACTATTTTTACTGCTGATTCTGTCTGTAGTGACCAGGAGTTGTTTGGTTTTATTTCTTCCCCACTCTTGGAGGTGTTTCAGGATAAATAATTGAAAATTCAGCACAGATGTTTCATTACAAAAATCCCAACTACCTCACAAACAGACACACAAAACCCCAGCCTTCAGCATCAGAACACCATGAATATGAATGATATATTCATGAATTTTCAAAAGTCAGGGACTTTTCAGTTGCTAAATCATATGTGTGACAGGTAGACTGATATGAACGGATCTTTCTTCGTTGTTTTCAGGACTGGAGTGTCTCTGCTGTCGGCAATCACGTGTTTAAGAATCATGTTTTTTGGGATGTCAGGGAAACGGGAATCACCACCACTCTTCTTCTCTCTGTCTGTTTTCTATCTGTTCTCTGTCATTGTTTGTTTGATGTTCTAGTGTCTAAGGCAGATGTACAGCACTGCATCTTTCAGACTCTAATCAAGAGGAAGTTGCATTTTTGATGGAAATTGAATGCACTCATCTGCTCTGGCCATCCTGATCATGGGCCCCCTGGCAGCAGGACAAAACTCTCTGCTAATGAATCATACTGCTGATGGCCGTTTTTCCTTGGGCACACTGATAAAGCCAATGTGCCAAAAGGTGTCAAAGGGATGGATTAAGATTAGTCATCTATACATTTCCAAGGTTGGATCTCTGTGCATGCCAAACTGCACTGCCAGTATCTGAGCTCCAGCAGGTCAGGTATGATATTCCCACATGACATATAGATTTGGCTAGTGATTCCCAACCTGGGGATACTTTGAAGGATTTTGATTTTAAACTTGTCATTGTAACCAGTCTTAATTTGTCATTCAAATTGGTACACATTATAGTGTATTTGTTGACCAAAACTACAGTATATAACGTCAATGAAATCAATCTGTGCAATAAAAGTAGTAAAAAGTACTTTCTGCCTTACCTATATTTATTTTTACATAACAAAAGCATAGATTTCTTATCTTTCTAGTCTCTCAGTGGCTTTAAGTTGAGACAAAGTAGCCGCTATTATTATCATAATCATAAACACACTGGTTTGTTGTGCAAATAGTTTTACCATGCACTGCACTTTATTCTTTTTTCCCCCAAAGCATCTAGTGAATTCTTGCACATTCCCAAATAGCTTACTTCCTTGCTGAAAAATATGGCAGATCCTTCAATTTCTCATTCTGCAGGTTTCAACAATGCGCCAGTAGGTGGCGACAAGTGACTGTCTTTATGAATGAATTACTGAATAATTTACTAATTTGTTCAAAACATTGATTCATGAGTAAACTAGTGCCTCCCTGCATCAGGATATACCTACTTTCATATTATAATGTGTGAAAAACGGTAAGTGAGTGGAGTAGTATTTCTGAATTCATAGTATTCCTAAACAGAAGGTGAAAAGTTCCTGGATGACCTACACTTCTGGCGAAATTCTGAAGCACGCATCTGATGGACACTTTACTGTCCCATGAGGCCCCGGGGTAGAGGATTTGATGGCAGTGTAGTGGCACTAATTGAGGCTGTAGATAACATATCTATGTCTGAATTTCATAGGCAACTACACACATTCATATATACAGCTTTTTAACAGTAGCGCAAGTTTCAAACCAAATGTGTTACCTACTATAGGCCTACAACATACAATTTCGGTCACAGCAACAATCTTCATAAGTGAGTCAATGAATAAAGTAATTACTCAGAGAATATGCATATTAGGATGTTGCTGTATTTATGAGTAAGTCGTTGAATAAATTTACTAAAACGATTCATTTAAAATCACTGCACTGACTCATTCAGGAACTAGGCCTACACTGTCTGTCTTTATGAATGAGTCTTTAACTTTGGCTTCATTTGCAACTATTTCTTATTATCAGAGCAAAAACAGATAAAGTAACTGGCTATTTTGTGTCTAAATTGTACCTTCCTGTTTATTGAACTGTCAAATGAAAACATGTTTCTCTTTTGTAAGTCGCTTTGGACAAAAGCGCCTGCTTAAATGTAAATGAAAACAATAACACATTCGCAATGTGCTGTTGGTCTGAATAAAAATGTTTAAATAATATTCATAATAATGCAAAATTATATCTAGTATTAATCCCTAATAATTCATATAATAATATGAATTATTAGAGACACATTTAGTTTAGCCAATAAATGGGTGCTTACTGACCTACAGTACTAATGGGGCTATGGTGGTACAAAAGACAAAACAGGTTGGACAAAAATGATTAAGGCTCTGGCGTGTGTAATGATTTGGTGCAGATGACTGTGTGTGTTTTGCTCTGCAGCTGTGGGTGGTTCAAAGGGAGAGTCGTGTTGAACCAAATGAACTTCACGCACATGTTCCTGCACAAGAAATTTTGGTCATGAAACAAAACACAAATATAAAAAGACACACATACCGATTAACAAACGGACAAAAACACAAGTAGAAAAAAGATGAAGGTGTGGACAAAATGTGCTTGCATTAAACACTAAAATTATGAGTGCTTGATGTCCTACACAAGGAACGAAATTGTCTATAAAATTTGGTCATTTGATATCAGCGATAAGTGGTGTTAAATATTGTGAGAATTTGTATGTGTTTGTGTTTCTTCGGGGGAAGAAAAAGTGACTAAATGCAGCTGTTGGCAGCATATGTGTGTGGGGGAAACTGATGAATTCTACTCAGGAGGGTGATTCATTATCAACGTTGCCAGAAAAGTCTGTAACACTGACAAATATTGTACAAGTGTGCCCTGCAGCAGGACGTTTCTCAAATTTATCACTAGATGCACACCAATAACAGGAAGAATCCTTTTCTGTGTCTGTCTCCAACACTTATCTCAAACATACAGTGTGCAAAACAAGTCTCAGATCTAGCATACTATAGGCTACTTTAACATTCTGTCATGGTTTTAATTTGTTCTGATTATGTTACTGTTATTTTATTAAGCAAATCCATTTAGTAGAATAAGATATAGCCCCTGGCATAATGTTTCTAACAAAAATAACCATGCGGAATGTGAAGAGATGAACAGGTGTTTCACGCCAAAACGAACACGATCATTCTTATCATTCTTGTCCATTAAATTTTGGATATGGATGTAACGATTAACCGCTAGCTGGTCGAAAATCGATTCAAATATGTGACGATTCAAATTGGTTGAGATGCCAAACAAATTGCGATACAATTGGAGTAGGAGTTTATATGAATGTATCTTTGAGGGGAACTGACTATCTTTAGAAAAGTTTACGTGGTATTTTCTTTTCATCTCTGCCTCTGAACAATGCATATTAATGTAGTGGTTATAAGCACTGCTCTGCTTTTTTTACAGCGGAAACCCAGGAAACACTGTATCATTGCTGTTCATAAGCTCTACTTGCTGTCAGTGAGTGAATCTGCGTCTCATTCAGCTCATCTGCTGTTTCATTCCGATATGTTTTATGTAGCAGTGGGGAACCGTCAGGGCCCTCTAGTCTAGGCCCTCGGAGATGGCCTAAACCATTGTAAAAACAATATTTACAATTTTAATTTTTATTTAAATATTTTTAATAAAAAGTTGTAATTTCCAATTGTATTTAAGCAATTCCTAATTTCACAATCATCATTTAAATAAAATAAATCAAATTTCTGTGGCAATAAACTCTTCAAGTCTGCCTATTCAGTGAATGGTTAAATAGACTCTGTAAGCAAGGGTAGGGGGAGAGGGCCAAGGTTCAAAAGTCACGGTTCGCTACTGTTATGTAGAATAGTTTCACAAAACTAAAGTCAGACCATTCTGTTTTTGCTTCAAATTTCGAAATTATACAGTCTAATTTAGATTAAAAACTACTCATGCTGCATGTATGCTGCATCTTTGTTTGGATCATGATTAAAATCCAGTGGTTGCCTCTCATTTTAAATGGAAAGAGCACAGACAAAGCCTTAGTTTGTTCATATTAAGAGATTTATTTTATTTGTGTAACTTACTTGTTTGATTTGGGGTTTGTTCTAAAATGTATTTCGTTTTGTTATATTTCAATTTCACAAAGAAACATGCAGCAATAGCCTAATAAAACGGCACGTTTTCATTTACTGTATGTCTGCGATCTCATTTTGTTGAAAAAATCGTGAGAAAATCTAATTGTGAAATCAAAATCGTGAATCGAATTCCTAATTTTGGATGCTAAACATTCTTTTTTTAACTTAAATATCAAACAATAGGCTATAGCATTTACAAAAATACTCTACGGGTTTAAAAAAAAAAACCTAATCAGAATTAATAAAACACAGTAGTGAGTCACTTTCGAAACACTGCTTTCTGAAGCTTTGAAAACTTTTCAGAACCTCGGAGCGCGTGTGTATCAAATTCCCCACCTCATTTCAGAAAACGAGGCTATCATACTGATTAGAGCATTGGCTTCAAAACGTTTCGAAATGTAGTTATATAGTTCATGTTGGCCACTTGATATTCAATAAAAAACATTAAAGAAACGTTTCGAAATTCGGTTGATCTGGTGAACCCCTGAACGACTGATAATGCTACTCTGTGCGGTCGTCAGCGGTCTATTAAAACGCACAACATATTAAAGCGTCTTTGGTGTTTCCATGTTTTGACGTCATTGTCAGGCGACACAATGGACACTGTCCGTGTCACTAGTTAAAATTGCTTATTTCTCTGGATTTAAACATTCTTTGAAACATTTGGGATAATGTAAGTACACAAGTCAGCAAAATATATAACACTGTTCTAGTGGTTTTTGGATATTTTAATAAAAAAATCTTACATATTGTGCCTTTAAAGGTCCACAGTGTCATTGTGTCGCCTGCCTATGACGTCATAACGATTTCTGGTTTGTTTTGTAGAAAACATGGAAACACCAAAGACGGTTTAATATGCTATGCATTTTCTTAGACAGGCGACGACGGCACAGAGTAGCATTATAACAGAACGTTCAAATGTATCTAGTATGATAAAACAGCGCTGCTTACTTCCACTGCTTTCTGGAAGGAGCGGAAGCGGTCGACTGTGGCATAATAAAAGCTCCGCTGCTTTCGAGCCGTGTGTCACGCTCGTTCAGCGGCCTTGTTTTGCTTCGACGGCTTTCCGCCTCACCCTGCTTCATACTACGACGTTAATAAATCTTTAATACATTAGCTCATCCATGAACATGATTTCTGCCCGAGTCCCGTCGGATTGCTTCGGCTGTGGGGATGAAGACGACAACTCCCATGATTCCACACTCAGTCACGGCATCATCTAACTAGGCCTTTGTTTCTTTGTTTGTTTTGAAAACACGCCCTCCAGTGGCAAAACATTACATATTGTGCCTTTAACTGATCTCGGTTCAGTTTTCATGAATTTGAATACATGTACGTTTATAGTAGGTTATAAAAAGAAAAATAGTAGTTAATTGTTCGTAATTGGCCTAGTTTGCCAAGTCCTGCCTAAGAACACAAAACAAGCATTACATGTTATTAAAATAAAACAAATGATACATGCATTTCATATTTAATGGTATTATTTGTAGATTATATTTAATAGATTACACTTTGCGCTGTGTTCCCGTTGTATTTACAGCATCTTGACCAGTGTCGCCAGCGTGCGGTGTTCCGAGCGCTTTGAAAATCAGAATCATTTTTCGATGCAATATTGGTTCAATTGTTTCAGAGTTTCGAAAAGATTCGCTTCTCCGATATCAGTGGTTCTCAATTCCAGTCCTGGGGTTCCACTGCTCTGCACAGTTTGTATGTCTTCCTTATTTAGCACACCTGATTCAGATCATCAGCTCGTTAGGAGGAAGATCCATGAACTGAACCGAGGGTGTCAGATAAGAGAGGCATACAAAATGTGCAGAGCAGTGGTACCCCAGTACTTGAATTGAAAACCACTGTCCTATATCACTACTTACAAGAAATGTAGCAATGTCTACAGAGTGCAAACACTGCCTCATAGCGAATGCAACACCTAAAATAGAGCAGCATGAGGTTATTCAGTTACACTTCAAATGTCGACAAAATCATTGGACCATCAGTTCTTTCACTTCTGACATTGTAGAGAGAAAAACATCCCTTTCTTTGTGCCTCAGGCACTCAGCCTGGTTCTGATTATAGTCGTTTCTCATGCTCTCTACTTAAAACACTAGCAAACAAATAATGGATAATTGTATCTTTCATGTGTTACATATTACCACATTGGTCTCCATTTGTTTCTCATTATATCAACAAAATGAAGTATGTGACTTTGGAGATCTTTTCATTATCATTAAATGACCAATACACCAAACCTGAAGCTATCATAGTTTAATCACTCTCATGTCACTCCAAACCCACATGACATAGTTTTGCACATATTGAGTCTGTCTCAGTTTTTTGGACCTCATTATGTAGTATAACACATGTTAGAGCCATTTACATTTTCATGCTATAAACTGGAAAACAGTCATATCTCACACTTTCAGCACAGGCTGCAGGTAATGATCTGTAATCTGGGCTGTAATCTCTTCTTTGACTAATTGTAGTGAGCTCTCTATTCTCCTAAATTAGCTCTGATACGTGGAAGACCATCAGCCCAAAACACACTGTATCGCTCTGCAGGCAAACACACACAGGCAAGCATGCAATACAAACTATACATACTGTCAACCATTCCTCAAAAATTTAAAAATAGGTGTAAATAAAAGTCTCCAGGATAACAGTTTTATTTAATTCTCACAAAAAGTCAAAGGCATCGGTCACACATATAAGACAATTCTGCCAAATAATTTACTCTCTTAAGTAATGACGCAAGTACAGTGGGGCAAAAAAGTATTTAGTCAGCCACCAATTGTGCAAGTTCTCCCACTTAAAAAGATGAGAGAGGCCTGTAATTTTCATCATAGGTATACCTCAACTATGAGAGACAAAATTAGGAAAAAAAATCCAGATATTAGTTTTACTGTAGGTGAACTATCCCTTTAACTCAGGGGTCTCCAAACTCATTCCTGGAGGGCCGGTGTCCTGCAGAGTTTAGCTCCAACTTGCCTCAACACACCTGCCTGGAAGTTTCTAGTATATCTAGTAAGACCTTGGTTAACTAGTTCAGGTGTGTTTGATCAGGGTTGGAGCTAAACACTGCAGCACACCGGCCCTCCAGAACCGAGTTTGGAGAAATAATGTAAAAATAATGTAAAAATACATACAAATGTCCATTATTGGAAGGAGGTGACGGTGCACTCACTTAAAAAATAAATAGGAGGAAATGCAACACTCAAAATGGCAACTGTAGGAATGGAAGTCCCTACTTTCAGTTAAAGAGCCAATCACCTTTTTGATAGAGGTATTGTTTTTTCCCCCCTGTGATTTGAGCATATAAAGCAGATCTATGATACCACTGCTGTCAGATTTTCCTACTTATTTGAATTGTCTTGGAGGTTTTGGTCAATCTTCAAGTATATAGGAGCTGTACTTGTATAACTGTTACCTACATAGAAAATAGTTGCATGGATGCTTCCAAGATGGCCACAAGTGAACTTGCCTTAAAAATAATTAAAATTAGCAGCCTGATTTGACTTAATACACAACAGCTTGAAATCTCTGACAAGCAGTGAAACCATAAAAGGTAATGTACTAAAAGGGTAATACAAGATTAATGGTCTGTGATTCAAGTAACTTTCAGGATTAATGCATCAAGGATCTTTTTCTTTTAACACCAAAGATTCATTGTATGACAGATGGGCCACAGCTATAAGATTAGAAGGCACTAACAAAACATTTCAATGAATGACAAGGATATTGTCTGTGGCAGAAAATTGTCTTTAAAGGGATAGTTCACCCAAAAATGAAAATTTGATGTTTATCTGCTTACCCCCAGGGCATCCAAGATGTAGGTGACTTTGTTTCTTCAGTAGAACACATTTGATGATGTGCATTATATGACTGATCGACTGCAATGGTTGGACTTAAAAAATCATCAGATGTGTTCTACTGAAGAAACAAATTCACCTACATCTTGGATGCCCTGGGGGTAAGCAGATAAACATCACATTTTCATTTTTGGGTGAACTATCCCTTTAACAATAGAAAAAAAAAAAATTTTAAAATAAAAATTTCTTGATTCTTATTTTAAGAAATATCCATAGGCAGCCATTTTAATTTGTGATGGCAAAATCTCAGAGAGCCAGAAGAGAAATTGCTCTGGAATCACTAAGATGCCATTTCCCAAAAGACAACGCAAGTTTCTAGAAGAGGAACACATGACACAAATCAATACAAACACTGTATTTAAAATAATAATAAAAAATAAAAAATAAAAGTCTGAAAAGCCCTAAAGATCCACTGATGTTTACACTAGATGTAACACTGGAGACACAAAACATATTGTTACACTATAACATGTTGTTCTCATAACACTGTTTACTAACCTTCATTGTTTTGCACTCAGCAGACTATTGGACATTGGACAGCTATTGACTACTGGAGGAACTTTCTCTTTGATTATCCATCTCTCTGATAAAATAAACATAAAATTACATGAGGGGTGAAAATAAGCAAAGCTATAGGTTATTAATAAGGCATGTTCAAAAAACAAACAAACTCACATTTGATGCTGCTTCAAAAAATCTGCAAACTGACGATCTCTTGTGTAGAGTTCAAGAATGCGGATGCGATCTTGAATATCCTATGGAATGGAAAGGAAGAGAAACTCCCAGAAACATGTATTACACACTTGCTTACATATTTCACAAAAAATTTCACTTGCTTATCTAAGGTGCTTTATACAAAGTAATTTGTTGAAAACATGCATTCACAGACCCGTACCTCCTTGGTGAGTTCACTGTTCTCATAAATATGCCGTATCTCTTCGCTGCTGAACTCTGTGGATGCCTCGGCACTGGCACTGCTGTGGACTAGGGGCCCGGGGTACCGCTGGTAGTAATGGCTGTAACCTGTAGTTAAATCGCTTTCAAACATGGGGTTATACTTAGTGGCCCTGTCTAGAAATGGTCCGCTGTCTTCTCTCCTGCATACAAACATGTATACACACACAAAAGAGGTCGCAACAGCCATTATTACATCCACAAGGGATCAAAGATCCGCCATGTTGACGAATTAATGCAAATCTCATAATGGAATTACTGGAAATGTAGGCTTCTTCCTAGGTGCTGCACATGCAGTAATTAAAGAGATTTAAGTAAGAAAAAAGCATTTAATGAAAATGTAACTTATTCATAAGTGACAGTTCTTACAAATATTTGTTCTAACAATTATTTACATGCCAAAGCTACTCAGGAAAAATATTTATATATTGTAATAATTCAATAGTTTGTTGTTTGTTGGGTAATTTAAACCTTAGTTTTATTTTTTAAAACTTGTTTTTCATTGAACAATTTGCATGTTCTCATTCATCACTGTTGATTTATTTTTTATTTTATTGAAATATCATGCTTTCATTCAAATTTTTATAGGTTTTAGTTGTATAGCACTTTTCCAGAAGCTCAAGTCTGCTTTACTCAAGGTCAAACTCTAATCAAGTGTTTGTGTCAGGTGATCGGCTCTGAAGGCTTGGACTTCTGAGGTAAAGTTTTCATGAACTGGAGTTCCCTTACATAAGACAAAGTCCATATTAGAATGAATATTATAATGCACAGTGAAAGCATGCGAGTTGGGATGAAGCAGTGATTTACCAGATTGACTCTTACCGTACTGGGTCCTCCGTTTCATCCTTGTCATACTGGTCTCTCAGAGTTCTTGCTAGGAAGAAGATTACTCCTGACGCCACCAGAAGGAACCCGGCAACAGATGCTATGGCAATGCCAACTACGAGTGGCTCAGAAACATACTCTTCACAATGTTCTCCCCTGTACCACCAATTTTCCCCAACACGGCATCTATAGAGCAGACAAACATACAAACAAACAAACTTAAAAACCTTAAGACAATGCCAGTCTTGCAGCCACATAGTTTAATATGAATGAGAATGCTGTTCTCCAGCTAGTACAGACCTAATTGTACAGTGTATGCTCTGCAATTATTTTTTTAAATTTGCATTTAACATTTCTTGAGTGTCATATAATCAAATATACAAACCTGCAGATGGCTCCTTGGCCTGGAATGACATCGCATTTCCCATCATTCAAGCAGAAGTCATGTTGAAGGTCACAGATGCTCTGGCAGGGTAGTCCGTCCATGCTGAAGTAACCAGCATTACACACACATTCAGCTTCACCTGACCATTGGTTCACTGTACACTCAGCAAACTCATTGCATGCCTGAAACTTGCACGGGTCTGCCTGTTCCCCTAAAACAAACATACCCACATAGATTAGCCACAGCTTTAAGGTGGCATGTGATGAGGTACATAATACATAATATACATGCTTTAGGACCAAAGTGACAAAAGTGACTGATCTTGTCTTACCTGATTCGACATCCAATGAATATTTGTCAATAGCGAGGTTCATGGTCTGGTAAGCTGTGTTGCAGAAGTCCTCTAGAATGAGGTAAACAGCAGTAATGACTCCACGAGGAACAGGCTTCCCAAACTTCATACGGCTGTTCACCACAATGCTTCCATTCCTGAAGTTCAAGATCTCCAGGTTCTCAAAGTGACTGAGGTTCGATTGCAAATATGGCACCAGCTGAGGGACATACAATCCCAATAATGAGTTCATAAACTCACAAACATAAATGGTATATAATAGAACTCTTAAATTCCAGTCCTGGAGGGTCAGTGCCCTGCAGACTATAGCAACAATCTCAATCTAACCTACTTGTCTATAGCTTGCAAGCAATTCTGGACACCTTGATAATCTTGTTTAGGTGTGTTTGGGCCAACAGGACTGGAGTTGAAGAGCCCTGGTATATAAAAGTGGTTCCCAAACTTGGATCTGGAATACCCCCAACGTTTTTGATGTCACTCTTATATGACACACCCATTTCAGGTCTTGGAGTCTCTACTAATTAGCTGATGCATGATTTGAGGGTGAGTTTGATTATGGAATCATACAAAATGTGCAGAGTTGGGAATACTTCATGACCAGTGTTGGGAACCACTGGCATATAATATAAATTATTGTAGGGGTTCTCAGTGTTCTCAAATCTGACCCCAAGGTCAACTTTCCAGTTTGATTAAGGCTAGAGCTAAACTCTGCAGGAAAGTGGACCTTGAAGGCCAGAGTTGAGAACCCCTGAATTAGTGAATTATTCAATCTGGATCATGGATGTCCATTTCTGCTTTTGGAGGGTCACCTTCCAGCAGAGTTTACCTCCAACACATCTGCCTGTAAGTTTCTAGTAATATTGAAGACCTTGATTAGCTAGTTCAGGTGTGTTTAGTTGTGGCTTGTGCTAAACTATGGTGGAATGTGGCCCTCCAGGAGCAGGACACTTCTGATTGATGAGTGGAGGTTTGACAGGAAATGTGGTTGAAGAGGAATAACAGCATAGGTCTTCAACTCTGCTCCTGGGGTAGGGCTGTCGCGGTGAGGGAATTTCCCTTGTGGTAATTTTGAGTGGCTCAATAGCACGGTATGCGGTATTATCGCCATACATATATATATAATTTGTGTGTGTATGTGTTATGATATAACTAACGAGGTCATATTCAGAAGACTATGAAATCGAAACCAAATAGCATTGAAACAGGAAGTGAAGTAAACAGAAGAGAATGACAAAATAACGGTCCACATAACAGAACATAAACCTGACAATAAGATCGTTAGGCTATCGTTAGCCTATATGTATAACAGTTAGCCTAGTTGTAATCTGATTTTCTAATCTGACTGGACAAGAGACTTTCTATTGATATTTCCACCTGCGCTCGTT